AAAAAAAAAAAATATCATGTATAACAGAATGAACTTGTCATAAAATAAAAATAAACTGTAACATAAAATATCAAAAATTAACAAAATCAGTTTCAATAACTGTCCTCTGGCAAGATCAGCAATCTTTTCATTTCGTTGGAAATTGTTGTGGGCCTAGTTTGAGGCGTCCGCAAGGAGCTGATCAGAGGATCGGACGTTATGAGTAGCTTCTTCATCAAGTCGCTATTGGTAGTAACTCTAATGAAGAAAATTTGAATTTAGCTACTATCACACGTTAAGTTAAAATGACCAAAGAGAACACACGTACCTGTTCAATTTTCTAGTGTATAATTCTCTGTACTTGCGCACCTCCTTGTTCCTGCTTTCTTGTGCCTCCTCAGAGAGTTGGCCACACGACAAGGGAGCAGCCTCAATTATGTCAGCCCCATGAATCAAGATTTTATGGACCGCCTGAGGCATGTAAAACCATGGGTACAGGCGAACATAAGTTTTAGCTGTAGTCCAACAAAACTTTCTGAAAACCCCAATATTGAGAGGCGCACCACAAGACAAAACATTCAAAATCAGTGACAAACGCTCAATCAATCGGAAATCGACACCAGTGATTCTTAAGGCTGTTTTTGGGTCATCAAAAAACCGACGAGCAGTGTTGCCATCGTTCGTTGAGCCGAACCCCTGCTTGACACAATCAACCAGAAGCCCAGTTTCTGATCTGTAACTGTCCTGAATTGCTTTCTTGCGTAATTGGACGCTCTCTTTGTCTTTGTCGCAGCCCACCCGCCATTTTTTTATGTCCAATTTATAGGAGAGATTGAGCACAAATTCTAAGCACCTAAACAAGAGAGTGGAATTTAGATGTAAGAACAAAAACCCTTCTCTTATAATTCCAAAATTTAACAGTAAAGTAGTGTACCGGATGCGAGCATGTAGAGGGGACAGGCCGAATTGAAATGTTTCTCCATTAACTTTTCGCTTTTTAACAGCTTCAAGCTTATTCATTTCGACTGGACGAGCCGCACAGACATGGCACCTAGAATTTGCATCAATGCCTGCCGGAAAAACATGCCAAATAAACAAACAAAAATAGAGGGTGTTAAACTTAGCGTATATACCAGATAGTGCAGAGCAAATTTTGCCGTCAAACATTGACGCGACCATTTCATGTGAAATGTGAACAGAGTCTTTTAAAGACGTCTGCACACCAGTAGACTGCAAATCAGTAATTGCTGACTCAATCCTTGAATGCTGTTTCAGAATGAATTCATTTGTTTCCTGGGTATATTCGAAGCTGATTGGCCGACAAAATCTAGTTGACGATGGAGCAATGTTGAGCCAGAGAATATGCTTGCTACCTCCACTACTCTGTAAATAAACGTACAATCTTTACCTTCAATAAAATGGAGAACTTAGTTGACCTGAGTGCGTGAAGTAAACTATACCAGTGACAGCTCTAACGGGACCAAACTTGTCAGAACTACTGAAGCATCGGAAGAAATTTCGGACACCTTCTGTTTAAATGTTGCGTGACCACTGCTTCCATCAAAGCCCCATTTAGAGATCAGTGTAATCTGCAAATCTTTGAAGGGCTCGTTACCTTCTCTGTAGAAGAAAGCAAAAGAGAATGAGTAAATATACATTTTTTTTATGGCAATTTAGCTCAAATTTGCATATGTATCGGACATCCTTTAATAAACTACACATAAACACACATAGTTCAGTATTAATTCTCTATGAAGTTTACGCTCTTTACTACAGCTCTTACGTACTATATTAAACTAAAGTCATGCAAGCCGTGCAAGCCAAATAAGAAAGCTACCCAAGTAAAAGCCTGATACCTTAAAGATGCAATTTTATCTTCTACCATGTGAACTAAACGGTTTGCAGTATGGTCTAGAAGTTCTTGAAGGGAGACTTCAGAAAGTCCCTCTCTGTTGGTAATAGCTGTGGGGTCTGGCATACATCTCCCTTCCGCTTCTTCAATGACTTTTTTTGGGGGGTACATCTTGGGCAAACCATGAGCAACCATGCCCATACGCATGGTATCATACTTATTTCTGCTTAAACCTAGGTTCAATTTTAGGGCAAGGGCCTCGTCCGGGGAATAGTTCCTAACGTTTTTAAATTTATTGCCACGTTCAATGGATTCTGTTAGCTCCTCAGGATTTTTGCAAGGACCCTTTACAAGATCAGCAGCTTGAGGATTTCCTTCTTCCTTGAATTTTTTGACGCAAGCAAGTCCTAATTCTGTTCCGGAATGAGTTGATTGTAAACCCTTTTCTATTCTTCGTCGTGAACGTGTGGAGGATAAAGCATATGCCTTTCTCGGACGGCCCACGTTTTTTTTTGGCAGGCGAAAGCTTTTGAAGAGAAACCTTCTTCTTAAGCCAATCTTCGTAAAGTGCCTCAAATTGGACTGTTGATCTAAAACATGGTGCCTTATTTAATTTGTCCCTAATAGCTTTGCATTCCAGGCGAATGATTTCTTTAGCATTTTTTTTTTGTCATCCGGAAGAAGTTGAGACGTTAACACACTAATAGCGTGTTCCACCTTTTTTTCGTGCGATTTCTTTTTCTCTTCCTTATATAGCTCAAATAAATATTTTCTTGGTATAGAAAGAATTCTCAACCCTGATAGAAGAAAAAGCGGAAAGAAAGTAAGTTAAATAGTGTTCATGCAAAGAGTGGCAGACATCAAGCATTGCCACTAAAAATAGTTTGGAAATGGCCTTGCTAAAGGGGTCAACGTAATAGGCGCACCTACTAACCACGTCAAAAAAAAATAACATGTGAAAAATAATTATTAATGTAGAACGTCTCCTAATACAGTGCGCCCTTAAATATTGGTGCCTCCAGCCTACGAGAGCTTTGCTACGGTCCCCAGCTGCGGGGGCAGGCGCACCGTACTGTACCACATCGCGAAGCCTGTTACGCGTGAGTCCAA